TTATTAAATCCTTATGAGCATTAGGTCTCATCATTAAAAACTTTGCCAATATAGATGAAAAATATTATCACACCACTTTATTTTTATTTTTATTTTTTATTTTTTATTATACTTTAAGTTCTAGGGTACATGTGTACAACATGCAGGTTTGTTACATATGTATACATGTGCCATGTTGGTGTGCTGCACCCATTAACTTGTCATTTACATTGGGTATATCTCCTAATGCTATCCCTCCCCCCACCCCATGATAGGCCCTGGTATCACTTTAATTTAATTTTTCATTTAATTTAATCATTTTAATTTACATATCATTGAATAGTGATGAATCAACATGTTTCTCATTTTGTTTTGCCATTTATATTTCTTTACTTTTTTTTGTTTTGGTTTATATCTTATGTCCCTTTAAAACATTATTTTGAAATTATTTGGTGTAGGTGAACCTAGAGGTAGAAATAAGATATGACACAGATAAGTTTTCAAGAAAAAGAAAAGTACCACAAAATTTGTAAATCATGTTCTGGGATGATTTGAAGGAACATGAAGATTAAGTAGTCGGTTTATTTTAAATACTTAGGCGATGTATGACTGGACATACTGAAAATTGATGTACGTATTCCCAACCTTGTCTATGGTTTTGCTTTGTGTGGTTTCCATTACTTATGGTCAACTGCAGTCTGAAAGTAATAAATGGAAAATTTCAGAAAAAAGCAATTTATAAGCTTTAAATTGTGTACCATCTTGAGTAGCATGATGAAATCTCACGTGGTTGGCTCCCACTTTGGTGGGACTTGAATCATCTCTTTTTCTAGTGTGTGATGCTATATATGCCACCACTCAGTAGTCACTTAGTAGCTGTCTCAGTTATCAGATTGAAAAACAGTATGTGTGGGGTTTGGTACCGTCAGCAGTTTCAGGCATCCACTGGAGGGTCTTGGACTGTACCCCCCGAGGATAAGGGTGGCTATTGTGGCTCTTAAAAATAAGTGGGGATTCCTATACATACTTTCTTGCAAATTTTATATCTGCAAAATGCCTTATGGATCATTTTATGTTAGTACATATAGATCTACCTCAGTTTTGTCCATTATGTATTTTTCCTTAGTATATATTTCACATATTATTATTTAACTTATTTATACAATATACAGTGATTGTATAAACATAATCTTAAATACTCTGGAAGTTATAATTTATATGTTTTATGTTAATATTTATCTCCTATACTTTTTACTTAGACATTAAAATCCCTCTAAAAGTTCCATATGTTGATGTAAAGTAAGGACAAGGTCTGTGTCATAAGTGCCTTTTGTCACACTGTTCTCTGGCACAGGCCTTATACATTGTAAGTCTCCAATAATGTTATTTGAATGAGTGAATATTCCCAAACCAAATCACTGGACCACTTAACAATAACTTCCTATCAGAATGGTTGTGAAAATTTACCTGGAAAGAATACATGTGGTAAAACTAGAGTAATATGATAATTAAAAATATATTAGAATTTATTCTGTCACTACTTTTAAAGTTGCCATCTTGATATATCAAACTCTTGTTTTAGTATTGTGCCCATTATACAAATATTTTTGCACCATCTCTTTTGTAGCTATATTAAGAGCCTATGTTTCCATCTTTATCTCGTGATTGATTTTTAGATCCAGTCAGCCACATTATTTGGAATGAATTGTAATGATTAAGGGGTATGATCAAGGTGGGTAACACTTGTTTTGATTACAACAAAATTATAAACTAAAGAGAGAAATTTTTCTTTGTGCCTAATGAATTGATTCTAAAGATAGATCCAAAAAAGCTCCCAAAGACGCTTTATTTCACATGGTTAATTTGCATAGCCTCTAGGAATTTGATGAAATTTTATAATTACTTTAAATTCTTTATGATAATGACTGAAACTTTTAAAAGTATAAAACAAAACCCGTTAAGGTAACTCTCTAAGCTTTTTAAAATTCATTTTTAATTTATAATTGACATAATGATTATATATGTTTATGGGGTACAATGTAATGTTTCAAGGTAATTACCATATCTATCACTTTAAACATTTATCATTTCTTTGTGGTGACAATATTCAAACTCTTCGCTATCTTGAAATACCACTGCATTGTTATTTACTGTAGTCACCCTAGTTTGTAATAAAACAGTAGAACTTACTCTTCCTTACTGTAACTTTGTACTTGTTGACCAATCTCCTCCTCTCCCCATCTCCCCACTATCTTCCCCAACCTCTGGTAACCATCATTGTACTCTCTATGAAGTCAACTTTTTTAGGTTCCACATATGATATGAGGAAGATCAAGTGATGTTTGTCTTTCTGTGCCTGGCTTACTTCACTTAACATGATGTCCTCTAGATTCATCCATGTTTTCACAGATGACAGGATTTCATTTTGTTTTATGGCAGAATAGTATTCAATTGTATGTGTACACACACACACACACACACACACGCATTTTCTTATCCATTCTTCTGTACATGGGCATTTAGGTTGATTTCTTATCTTGGCTATTATGAATAGTACTGCAGTAAACATGGAAGTGCAGATGTTTCTTCGACATACTGATATTATTCCCTTGCATATATACCCAATAATGGTATTGCTGGATCACATGATAGGTTTTTGTTTTTTGAGGAACCCCACACTGTTTTCCGTAATGGCTGTACTAATTTATATTCCCACCAACAGTGTATAAGATTTCTTTTTTTCTCTACATTTTTGCCAGCATTTGTTGTTTTTTGTCTTTCTGGTAATAGCCTTTCTAATTGAGGAGAGGTGATACTGTGGTTTTGATTTGCATTTCCCTAGTGATTAGTGATGTTGAGATTTTTTTCATATAACTATTGCCAATTGTATGTCTTCTTTTGAGAAATGTTTATTTAGGTCTTTTGCCCATTTTTAAATCAGATTTTTTTGTTGTTATTGAGATGTTTGAGTTTCTTATATATTCTAGGTAGTAGCTTCTTGCCAGATGCATAGTTTGCAAGTACTTCCCATTCTGTAGGTTGTTTCATATATTTAAAATCCTAGAGACTCCACCAAAAAATTGTAGAATTGTGTAAATATTAAATGAATTTAGTAAAGTTGCAGAAGACATTATCGACATACAAAAATCAGTAGTGTTTTCATACACGAACAGTAGATTATCTGAAAAAGAAATGAAGAAAGCAATTCCATTTATAATAACTACAAAAAATGATAAAATACCTAGGAATAAACTTAGGGGGTGAAAGATCTCTACCATAAAAATTATAAGACAGTGATGAAAGAAATTGAAAAGGACACAAATAAATGGGCAGATAATCCTGTGTCCATGAATTAGAAGAATTAATGTTGTTAAAATGTCCATAGTACCCAAAGCAATCTACAGATTCTATGCAATTACTATTAAAATATTAGTGACATTCTTTACAGAAATAGAAAAAAATCTTAAAATTCATATGGAAGTGCAAAAGAACCTGGATAGTCAAAGCAAAAAGAAGAAAGCTGGAGGCATTATGTAGTACCTGACTTCAAAATATACTACAAAACAGCATGGTTTTGGTGTCAAAACATATAGACCAATGGAACAGACTAGAGAACCCAGAAATAAATTCATTCATTTACAGCCAACTGATTTTCAACAAAGGCACCAAGAACACACGCTGGGTAAAAGACAGTGTCTTCAGTAAGTGGTGTTGGAAAAACTAGGTAGCTACACACAGAAGAATGAAACCAGACCCTTATCTCTCACCATATATAAAAACAAACTCTAAATGGATTAAAGAGTAAATTATACGACCCCAAATTATATATAACTACCAGAAAAAAAAATAGGAGAATTGTTTCATGAAATTGGACTGGGCAAGGATTTTTTGAATAAGACCTCAAAAGCACAGGCAACAAAGCAACCAAGCAAAAATAAGATAAATATTAAGATAACGTTCAGACATCAGTAATAAGATGATTAAGAACATGACATTTAAATCTGTGTAGACTCAATTAGGTGATTTCTCATTTGCAATAAACAGATCTTTGCTGCCACCTGGAGGATTTTTCCTTGTAAGTTTCTTTATTCAGTAGGAGCATTAGCAATCAACTTTGAATTTAAAACCTCCCATCTCAAAGGTGCAAATAAAACATAGATGGCAGATGCATTGTATCATCTACACAAATAGTGTTTATGTTTATCTTTGTTCATTCTTATTTGAAATTTGTTTAATTGTGGAATATTACTATTCTCTGAATATTGCTAGTGAAACACTTTTATAACTTTATGTATTTTCAGTTCTGAGATACAGAAACCAGGAATGTTGAGTTTCTGTTCAAGTAATTTGTGTTCCTAGCTTGCCTGTGGGTATTGATTCTACTCAGTCCCACAGGTCCTTGAGTGTGCCTTTTTCTGTCAGCTAGTTTAGATAGGTTGCATTCAGATAATATAATTTAAAAGGTCGTTTTTATTACTATATTTTGTAGAAAAAGTGGGGAAGACAAAAGTGGATAAGTGACTAGCAATTTTTGGAGAATTAATAAAGGAGTTCTTATCTTCTCTAACATAAACTAATAAATTTGATTTTTGATATGTACTTCATGTGAAAACGTAAAAGGCTAGGAATTGTTTTTGTGACTGAAGAGAAATTGGTTGAAAACAGGTACATATTTCTCCCTTATTAAAGCAATCTAGCAAACTGCAAGGTGAACTATTTAAGTACTTGTAAGTGGCTGCAAATTTGTAATGCAGGGACCATGCATGGACTTATTTTTTCTTGTGCATAATGATCAACTCCATTTATTGTGTGCAAGTATCTGAAATAGAACAATATTAGCTAATTTTATCACCTACGTGTCTGATAAAATTATAATATTTGAGGCAGAAACAAGACTTTTGAAAATGTTGAGAATTTTTCATACCTTTGTTTTAAAAAGTTATGTCTGAGATATAATTTGTTTTAAAGCTATGCAACTGAATAAGATGCTTGACTTTTATTGCTTGTTTTGAATATTACAGCCAAAAATTAGAGATAAGAGCACAAGTCGCAGATGCCTTCTTATCCAAGTTCCAACTGACTTCTGATGAAATGAGTCTTCTCCGAGGTACAAGAGAAGGACCCATTACTGAGGTATCCTGACTTTCTGTTATAATCATTTAAAGTTTAGTAGTTACAGATATTAGAGAGAAATTGCGTTTTTGAAGCTTTATTTTCCCATTTTAAAAAGTTTCATCTGAGAATATTTTTATGTTTGGAAATTTAAGATGTATATTTTAATTATATTTTTCAAAGTAATACATGTACTTTTTGAAAAGTTGGAGTCAATAAAGCTTACAGAGAGAAAATCTATGTCACCTATTTTACTCTTCCTCACCTCTAGGTCTTTTGCCAACCATTTTCAATGTTATTAATTGCTTCTTTTGTAAATTCTATATTCCAGATCTATAGCTAAAAAGAATATGCTTTGATTATCTATGTTAACTATTTTTTATTGATTCTCTATTGTGAAATGTGAGGATTTAGCCTTCTACCCACTCTGTCTCCTCCCCCAACACAGATTGTACACACATATCTTCTCTTTATCTCCTTCATACATCATAGTACAGTTAGACCACATTTTCTATTTTCTTTTTCTTTTTCTTTGAGACAGGGTCTCGCTCTGTCACCCAGCCTGGAGTGCAGTAGCACGAACACAGCTCACTGCAGCCTCAACCTCCCAGGCTCAAGTGATCCTCCCACCTCAGCCTCCCAGGTAGCTAGGATGACAGGCATGCACCACCACTCCTGGCTGATGTTTTTAATTTTAATTTTTAGTAGAGACAGGGCTCACTGTATTGCCCAGCGTGGTCTTAAACTCCTTAGCTCAAGCCATCTGCCTACCTTGGCCTTCCAAAGTGCTGGGACTACAGGTCTTACCTACCACACATTTTTTGTTTTCATTACAATGACATTACAGTGATTGAATGTTCTTTCTTTTATAACTTTGTGTCTTTCCTTGGGTTAGAAATCACTTATTTTTTCATCTAATTAATTTTTTAAGCTATTCCATTCTTTCCAAACTGGCTGACAGTATTATAAAACCTCTCAAAATGTTAAATAACAAGAAAAAATTTCATTTCTTTTTTGTTTCCTTGAAGACATTAATAATTTTTCCAAAAGGGAATCTTTTGGTCTTCTAGCTGGGAAGAACTGTAAACTTAAGCCTATCGTCATCGTTGTGGGATCAGAGGGCAAAAGGGTTCTTGAGGTGGGGAAGGGTTCTCACTGAGTGTCTCTGAGTAGGTATCACTTTTACTGGCTTGGCTAAAATGGAACTGGTCATTTGGGTGTAGAGAGGTAAATAGGTGAGATAATTAATAGAGATATTATGTATTAGTATGTACTGTCCTCATGTTTTGAGGAACTTTGTGCTTTTGAAATATTTGATATATCATTTTTTTCTCCCCTTGGTAGAAATTAGAAAAAGAAGATGATTATTATTATTATTTTAAGCTTTATTCATCAAAGAAAAATAACACATCTATTATTTTTCATGAGTGGAACACTATTTGTGGCACTCTGAAACCTAAGCCTCCAGTACATTTAAATATCAGTCAACAGTTTGGCATCTGTCACCTCCTATGTATTTAACTTTGCATTCTACTCTTGGACGAGGGAGCAAGAATGAGTATACAACAGAGATATAAAACATCATCTTCAGCGATAAGAATGCCAGGCTTAAGTAATAAGATGTGTAATACACAGTATGTTTTTTAATTTAGTAATTTTTAGTTTTGCATTTCTCACTAGACTATGTACACTTCTTGAGGACAGGGATTTTTGACTTTATAAATTTTGTACTCCTGGCAACTGTCAACACTATTTGGCACGTAGTAGGAACTGGATTAATTTGTTAATACGTCTTAAGATGTGAATAAATACCAGTTACATCATCTATGAAAACTTAGAGAATGTTGAGATCAGTATAGGAAGTCTTCGTTAAAATAGGTGAAAGAGTTTGTTTGCCCTTGGCAGTGACCTTTCAGTTTTAAATAATGTAATTTTGCCTGAAGCATGGACATAAAGTCACATTCTTAATTTTAAAGGAGTTTTTCAAGGCACTTGGAAGAGTAAAACAGATTCATAATGATGTCAAAGTTCTCTTGCGTACAAACCAACAAACGGCAGGGTGAGTAACTGCTCGTTGAACTAATTGCATTGCTGCTTACATTTCCAAAATTTTAAAGATATTCTAGATTGTTTGTGAAACTATATAGCGTTTTGTGAAATAGAAGTTTAATCTTTATTTATCTTTAGAGAATAGTGAAGTTATACCCTGACAGGTTTAGGCTAAAACAGCAGTTGATAAGTAAGTGATGGTTAAAATGTGACATTTACTTAATCATAGAAAATTATTGAAAACTCATTCCATAAAATGATAAACAGTTAATATGCTGTAACATGTAATATGCAAACAAAATAATTAGGTGCTTAGATGTAGCTGTTGACTAAGATTTAAATTATAATAAATCTTTAATTTTTTTTAGTTTAGAAATTATGGAACAGATGGCCTTACTTCAAGAAACGGCTTATGAAAGACTTTACCGATGGGCTCAAAGTGAGTGATTTATTTTATGTTGTCTATATTCATGAACATTTGTAGTTGTTTTTTAAAATTTTGCTTGGTCTTTGATATATTTTGATTTTAGTAGTCAAAAAAATTTTTTAAATAAAAATAGTATTTGTATTTGATTTTTAAATTTTTATTTGGTCTTTGATGCATTTTGATCTAGTAATCAAAAATATTTTAAAACAGAAAAACAAACTTCATGTTTGAACACACTGTTTTTGTGTTTGTATCATGAACACCTGCTTTCGGCCAAGTAGTATGCTTGATTAAGTATGAGAATAAAAACATGAAGACAGTTTCTGCCCTAGATTATCTTAAAGCAGATTAGGTGTCTCTTGTTTACATAACTGTAAAGTTGTAAGTGGTAAATTGATTTTCTGCTGTTGCTGTAGAAAATTATTACAAACTTAATGGCTTAAAACAACACATATTTATTGACTTACTCCTCTGTAGGTCAGAAATGAGACGTGGTTCTCACTATGCTAATATCTGAATGTTGGTAGACCTGCATTTGTTTCTGTCTGCTCTAAGGGATAATCTGTTTCCTTGCTCATTCAGTTAGTTGGCAGAATTCAGTTCCTTGTGTCTGTAGGACTGAGGTCTGTGTTTCCTTGCTGGCTGTCACTGAGGGTTTTTCCCAGTTTCTAGAGGCTGCCTGCATTCTTTGGCTTGCGGCCCCTTCCTCCATCTTCAAGCCAGCCAGCAATGTCAGGTCAAGTCATTTTCTCGTGTTGATTCTCTCCTGCCTCATCTTCCATCTCATATCTCTAACTTTTCTGCCAGCTACTTACATTGTGAGGCCTGTGTGATTACCTTGGACCCACTTGGGTAATCTGAGAAAATCTCTCCATTTTAAGGTCTACCACCTTAATTTCATTTACAAAGTCCCTTTTACCATGTAAGCAACATATTCACAGATTCCAGGGATTAGGATGTAGACATCTTTGGAGGGCCATTATTTTGCCTACCAGGAATACTTTATTTGCTTTAGTTTTGTTTGAAAATGTTTCAATAGACATTTTGCAAATAGCCTATTAAAACCAGAGAAGATATTTAAAACAAGCAAGCATGGAACAGGAGCACATATTTTAATAGGTGTTACCAACCAGCTGTTAGAAGAGGTTGGAATTAAATTTAGTTAACCAGCTACTCCTGTACTATGCTCTGCAAATAGAATTCTCTGGTCTGGTTGGTTAAGTCTTTATCTCTAAGACCTGTTTGTTTTTCTACCTATCTCCTTCTTTACATTGTTTGCTTCCATCTGGAGTGTTGTCTGCCCTTCTTTCGTTGCATCTCGTTGTATTTTTTTCATATATGTCTTATCTCACTAGTTTTCTACTTTCTCAAAGACACGGACATTGACTCAAATTTCTTTGTGCTTCCACATCTTACATAGTGGCTCCCAACTGTGGGCCTCTGTCTTGTGGAGACTATGAAGACATTTTAAGATGTCTTCAATTCTCTGTGCATATTTTGTTTTCAGTCAGTGCATGCTAGAAAGTATACTGCCAGGGTGAAGTCCTTGTGTACCAAAGGTTGGGAATTTCTGAGAAGTCCTAAATTTGAATGTACTAGGCACTTGTGAGCATGTTATAGATAAAATTAGAACAATAAAGAAAAGTTGGTGTCGAGATTTTTAAGAGTTTAAAATTCAAACTCTTTTGAAATTATAATTGTATCACTATATATTGGTTAACCACATTAACAATTTTAGCAAACTCCGTAAAGATTGCTTCTCAGGGAAGGAACTGATAATATATTTTTAGTGCTCCTCCCTGCCTCCCTAATACTGTCATGTATATGGCAGTTATTAGGAAATACTTGTTCATTGGTTGGTTTTTTCAGAACTCTAGTTTTTTATAATAATAAAATACAGCTTTGGGGTATACCTGATTCATTTAAAGTTATATAACTACTTAAGCTTAACTTTTTAGTTTGGTTGACAGTATAAATTAGTTTTTGATTGGTGTATCAAGGTTTTTCTGAGGATTTTTTTATGGAGTGTTTGCCATAGAATTTAGACTCCTGGAATGCAACAGACATAATAAACATCTAAGCTGTTTATGCAATTTAGCAAAACTTAGCTGGATATTACACTTTCCCTTTTCTGTAACAAAAGTTATAATGTTAATTATATTTCAGGTGAATGCAGAACATTGACACAAGAATCATGTGATGTATCTCCAGTATTGACACAGGCAATGGAAGCCCTGCAGGACAGACCTGTCTTATATAAGTTGGTGACTTTTTCTTAATTACAAAAGAACGCCTACTTTTCTTTTGATAATTTACTTTAAATATTAGTATTAATCAAAGGCATATATAATAGTTTGAGTAATATTTGTAATAATTTACAACAATACTATTCACCTTAACTTGAATTTGTTTCATGGGATATCAGCTTATTTGAATTTTACATACTATAGAATACAATATGGAAAGAGAAACCAAAGTGTCTCTGTATCTAGACTACCTCTTATTTATATAGAGGTTCAGTGACTTTTCCCCAGTCATCTCATTAACTCCCTTAGAATTGTAAGTAACTAAAACTCCTATATGAATCCTTCCCTACAGAGACTGAAGTCATACCAGGACTGAGAAATATGGTTATGCAGAGATGAAAAAAAGAATATTTAATATCAAGGTTCTATTAATAGGATTTAGGAAGAGAGGGCTCAGGTCTTTGATCTCATAATTGACGCCAAACAAGAGCTATGTGGTAATGCTTTGGATAAGAATTTAATGCATTTTATATTTGTTGATATGTGTCTTATTATTTTATATTTTAATTTTATTCGCTTAATTTTTATAAAATAAAAAGTAAATACTTTCTTTAATGCCTAGAGTAGTATGAGCATAAGCTTTAGGTAGATGTAGGGGTTGATGATATTACTAATTCTGAAAATAGGAAACCAGGGGACTCTTACCAAGGTAGTACATCCTGCTGTGAATCATCCCTTTCAGTTTCTGCTTATACTATTTTTAGAGGACCTTCCCATTACTTTCTGATTGGAACACTACTTATACTATCATAAGGTCACAGAACGCAAATGCTGAACAACTGTGTAAAGTAATAACACCCCAGAGCTACTTACTGAGTGCTGTGTGTTAAGCACCATTTTACATTCTAGAAACACAGCTTCAGTAAAGCACTGCCCTCAGACTGCTTTATTTTATGGAACTGGAGATAAACAAATGCATTTTAATTGAATATACTAATTGCTAGTCTACAAGTCATGTCCCAGATGCTGTGTGGCTCAAGTATTCTGAGGTAGGGGAAAGAGTGAACGTCAGTGAAAGTTTCCTATGGAATTAGGTATAAAGTGAGTTCTGAAGACTGAATAGGCATTTTCCTAGAAGTAAAGGAAGAACAGTTTCCAGGTTGAGGGAACAGTAATGCAAAGATATACATTGAGAGAACATGCACCTTTGGGAAATTAATTGCAAAAGCTTGCCCTGGCTATTGAATTAGGAGCAACAGCTGGATTTGTAATAGCCCTGAATGTTGTGCATATAATATGATAAGTTAATGTTTACCATTGATCAGCAGCTTAGCAGTTCTTTGAAATTTCTTTCTCAACTTTTTCACTTTAACGTATTGGCATTGATTATGAGTCTTTTAGCACTTAAAACATTTGGTGTTTGATTTTAACAACTGTTGCATTGTCTGCAGATTAATATTTATTCACAAGGTTAATCTTTAAAAAAAAAAAAACAAAAAAAACCTTTGTGTGTTTTGGGCACCTGAAAACAACAGCTGACTTCTGCCATGCAAATAAATTTTTACTAAATTATAGTTCTTTATCAAAACTTGGAAAGGAGCAATATTAAATGGCTTATAAGGTGGACTCCTGAGTCAGATTTCTTTGAGAAGTCCTTACACCTTTATAAACTTCAGTTTCCTTCGCTGTAAAATGAAGATAATAATAGTGCCTATTTTACAGGGTTGATGTGAAGATTAAGTTACATTGTTCACTTGAGGCACGTAGTGTGATGTTTGGCATATCACTAAATTTTAGATATTATTTTTATTTTGAGAGGAGGTGACTAGGAAGCTGTCAACTAAGGAGGGGTGTATTTGAGGGCTACATGGCAATCAGAGAAAAAACTTGAAAGATAAAGAATGAAACTATAATGGAGTGGCAAAGAAGGTTAATCTGTGAAGGGCATATGCTAAGAAGCAGGGGGCAGTATTGGCAATTCGGAAGATTTTAAGAGACGTTTAGAAGTTGAGTGGGGGAGTAAGTTTTTAAGACCAGATGATTAGAACAAGATAAATGCTAAAAAAGAGGAAATTGGCCTTTCATTAAGTAATTATTTTCAAAGTGGTAGTTTCCTTACATTTAGGGAAAACTTAATAATGTGTCATGCTAACCACCAGATGGCACTATATGAACTTAATAAGTAATGTATAAAAGCTTCACTGTCCATTATTACATCTCAAATAACCTAAGTATTATAGGGAAGAAAAATGTCAATTATTGAAATCCCTGGGGAAAGTTGCCATTACTCAGTGTTTCTTATGTAGTATATAACTGGAATGCTAATGCATTATTGACTTTTAATAATAAATCATGTATAATTATAAATGGAAGTGAGAAATTTTGATAATTTCTTTCCTTTGGTAAGCCTTTAGAATATAAGTTATTTTAAAATGTAGTAATATGTACAATGCTGATTTTTCTTCCTTCTTTATGTATTTGTTGTATTTCAAAGAGGCACTTCTATACTATTATCTTTTAATTTGCTTTTTGATAAAAAATTTTCTCCTTTTAATTTGTTTTTTGACCAGAATTTCTTTGATGGTAGCTAAAACACGATTTTTAAAATGAGACTTAATTTTAACTAGGGGTATTTGAGAATATGTACATAATTTGAACATTCACCCTGAAAAAGCTCCATTTTGAATTTTGATTATTGTTGGAAGAATGTCTGATTTTGGTGAAAGAATTTTTCTTCTGTCTCTGGGCCTTCCCAGGATGTTTCATGTCTAAAGATATTGAAGGTTCATATGGCTTATGCTGTTTTTGCTTTAAATTATATTTGTTCTATAGGAGGATTGACGTTAATATTAATGTTTATTGATATTTTATAGTATTAAACAGATGAAATTCCAGTGTTTGCCAGGCTTGGTAATTTACCCCCTATTTAAGATACCAGTAGATTCACTGGATTCTGTTACAACTGTGGTCCCAGTGGACAGTCCTAGAAACAAATTTTGCTATTTATTTTTACTGTGGTTAGTAGGGTCTTGGGAATGAGGATTAGCTTTATATACTTAAAAAGTTAAACATTTGTGAATTTTGTGCTCTGATAAGCAGTCATATTTCAGAGAATCAGGTGATCATTTAAAAGAAGGCATTCTTCACACTAAATGGATTTATAATTTAAGAGCATAAGGGAAAAAATAGCAATGAGCATTTTGGTTCTAATTTGTTTAAAAAATAGAAAGTAAATGCAAGGCAATTATGCAATTTAGCAAAACTTAGCTGGATATTACACTTTCCCTTTTCTCTACTAGTATGTCACCACAGGGAATCTCAAAACCATTTCTTTTTAATGGAAAACAAACACACAAAGAACCATAGTCTAGTTAATAGTAAACAGTCCTCAAAAAAGGTTCATATTCCTAAATATTTATAGCTATTTGCCAGTTCTACAGGCTTTCTCTTTTATTTGGAAGTAAACCATCTTTCATATGTTTACCGAAATGTGGATTTTTCATCCAATTAACAGCATATGAAAGAAAGCTATGTAGCCTAAGATATTAATTATTTTGGGTATCTTGGGAAGTTTTGGTAATAGGTTATTGACATAATTCTTAAAATTTAGTATGGTAGAATACTGTTTAGAGGTTTACAAGTTAGTCTAGAATCTGCTGACATCAGACTGCTAAAATATATTGTGTTTTTCTTTATACTTTTAAAATGGAAAGAACTTTCAATTGAGGGATGGATGTCAGGAATGGTGGTGATAACGGGAAACAAGACTGAGTCAAGTCAAAGAAATGGGCACTACAGAGAGCTCCAGGCCCTTTTTATAAATTGAATCCCAAATTGTCCTGTTCCCCAGTTAAAAGCTTTCCTTCCCTACCAGTTCCTTCACCTTGGAAAGCCTTTCCATGCCTTTTCAATTATAATAGGTGACTTCTTAATACATGTTTTTTAAAAAGGTATTTACTTGTATATGTGATTGGTCAGTAAATTTAAGGAACATCTATTATGTCTAATATTGGAGTCAAAATAAGCTTTTAAAAATGGATAGCAATTTTTAGAGCAAATTTTGGTGATAAATTGTGATAGTATGTATAAAGAAGACTTTTTAATGTAGAAGAGAAAATCTCAATTTTTGGACTGCAGAATTCTTTTATTTTTTTCTGAGACAGGGTCTTGCTCTGTGGCTTAGGCTGGAGTATAGTGGAGCAGTCACTGCTAACTGTAGCCTGAACCTCACAGGCTCAAGGGATCCACCTAACTCAGCCTCCTGAGTAATTGGGACTATAGACATGCACCACCATGCCTGGCTATTTTTTTTTTTTTTTAATAATGAGAAAGGGTCTCTTTATTTTGACCAGGCTGATCTCTAACTCCTGGGCTCAAGCGCCCACCTTCCTTGGCCTCCCAAAGTGGTGGAATTGCAGGTGTGAACCACCACACCCAGCCTTGGATTGCAGAGTTCTAATTATAATCAGCTTTTGAGAACTGTTATGGCTTTATGTAAAACAGTAGAGCATCGTTTTAGACTATAAATATATATACTGAAATATACTGAAACCTAATATACTGAATGTACTGAAACCTAAAAAGTTAAGTCTTCCCACCTTGACTTGATTTTCCTACTTTTACTAAGTCCATTGCTTTATCCCTTATTACTGCTGCCTCTGCTTTAGTCCCATATCCCAGCATTGTTTCTTAGGAGGGGTAAAAGTTTTTACTTTTTGACTGAATTTTCAATGCGCCAGAGTTATCTCTTAAATATTTTTTTCTTGTTTGAAAGCAGTGTTGCTTGACCAAATGACTAAAAGAGCTTTAAGTACTTGCTTGTCTCAGAAATTGCATGAAAATCTGATATAGCCACTAGAGACAAAGAACCCCAACCATTTTTTATACAACTTGTTTCTTCTAGATATACCTTAGATGAATTTGGAACAGCCAGAAGAAGTACAGTTGTTCGTGGATTTATTGATGCGCTCACAAGAGGGGGCCCCGGAGGTACACCTAGACCAATTGAAATGCACTCTCATGACCCATTGAGGTATAGTAATCAGACAGCAGAAGAGGAGTGAATGTTTTTCCAAAGGAAATCTTTATTAACATTTAGTTTTCATTAGGTATGTGGGAGATATGTTGGCTTGGCTCCATCAAGCTACTGCTTCTGAAAAGGAACACCTTGAAGCTCTCTTAAAGCATGTAACTACACAAGGTGGGTCCACCGATTATATTGCTAATGCCTAAATCCTGAAAATAACCCAAGCATCCCTGTTTCTACTCTTGTTGCCATCTTCTTAGATAAACACCTTGATGGTACAATAAGTGTCCTGATGAGTCTTTCTCTTCTCTAGATTCTCCCTCATTCTGCTAATAGACTTTCTCTTCCATCACCTTTGTCCTGTCACTCAACTGTTCAGTTTTATAGTGAACCCTAATGACCTTTCATATCAAACCTAGACTCCTCTGTGGCACTTTTAAGAAATTTCTGGAATATCTAGCATACATTATGTCAAATCCTCTGCATGACGCTTTAAAGGTACAAGGTGGTATTATCTTAGTTTTATCTGTGTGTAAACAGGCTGAGTGACTTGTTTAAGGTCTTTAAGCTACTAATTCTTTCATTTCTGCTACCCAGCCTCTTTTTTCATTCTCATGACACTGTTTTAAAATTTTAAAACCAATGATCATATTGGTTAGTATGTTTCTGCATTGCTATAAAGGAATACCTGAAGCTTGGTAATCTATAGAGGTTTAACTTGACTCACGGTTCTACAGGCAGTAGAGGAAGCATGATGCCAACATCTGCTTCTAGAGAAGGCCTCAGGAAGCATAGAGTCATGGTGGAAGGTGAAAGGGGAAGAACCAGCATGTCACATGGTGATTGAGGGAGCAAGACAGAGAGATGGGAGGTGCCACACACTTTTAAGCAACACTGACTATTGTGAGGATAGCACCAAGCCATTCATAAGAGATCCACTCCCATAACCCAAACATCTCCCACCAGGCTCCACCTCCAACATTGGGGATTACATTTCAACATGAATTTAGAGGGGACAAACATCCAGACTACATCACCATATATACAATGTACTTAAAATTTTTGTCTTGATGTCAAGGAAGAAAAATAACTGTAGTTGAGAGTTGCTGATGTCTTGTTTACAGAATTCCCAATCTTGTTAGTTGTGATTACCTAAGGAGGCCTGTTTTAGAGTTTGAGGGTTTAGTGTATGTATGATTTTAAAATGTTCTATTTTTGATAGGAAGTTAAGAGAGACACTGTGGCTTGGTATCACTTGACTGTTTTACATAGCTCAGCCACACGCCTCTGTGGTTCACATTATCTGCAAGATGAGTCAGTGTTATGGTGGTAATACGAACCTCATAGATTCTAACTCTTCAGTATCAAGATTAGACTCAGCATATGTTAGATTGGCAAAGTGTGCATTGTTAGGTTCTCTTTCTGTTATTATTCTCATTATCCCATTTAAATAAATGTGTTTCCTTAAAGATGTTTTAGGAAAGTATATGTAAGGCAGTGTTAAGGAAGAAAATAGATTGTAGTTAGATGAAGTAGGTTATTCTATAGGAATGACTTCAATCTTCTGGGCCTCAGTTTTTCCATCTGTAAAAATGAAGGTGGTTTCAAGCAGTAAATGTCAAATGCCCAGTACAGAGCTTGATAAATAGTTGGTGTTTGGAAAATACTAGTTTTTCTGTAAGATTTCAAGGTGTATTTTTCAACTTTATACCCTCAGTGTATGTGCTAAGCAGTACTGCCTGGAACAAGATGTTTGTAAAATAAATGCTAATACATCTTGGCATCACTTCATTCAGTGAATACATTTCAGACATTTTTTTTCTCTGTCTTATAAATTTAATCTTTTTCACAAAGAAATATTCATTTTATTAACTCAAAATCAAATGAATTAAGGCTTTCTAGACACATATTAGGTATTATCACAATTAGTAATATGTTAACACAATTAGTAATGTCCCAAGAGATATCAGACTTACTAAAATATTGTTATGGTTAATTTTTTTTTTTTTTTTTTGAGACGGAGTCTCACTCTGTCGCCCAGGCTGGAGTACAGTGGCGCGAGCTCGGCTCACTGTAAGCTCTGCCTCCCAGGTTCACACCATTCTCCTGCCTCAGCTTCCCGAGTAGCTGGGACTACAGGCGCCCACCACCACGCCTGGCTAATTTTTTGTATTTGTAGTAGAGACGGGGTTTCACAGTGTTATCCAGCATGGTCTCGATCTCCTGATCTTGTGACCCACCCAACTCGGCCTCCCAAAATGCTGGGATTACACGCGCGAGCCACCACGCCCGGCCCTGTTATGGTTATTTTAAAAGTTATTAGTGCCATTAATTATATGTATTATATATTAATTGTTTTTTGACCTTATATGAAGCAAGGTATAATATGGAAACAAATATTAATTATGTAGTAATTAATTTTAGGTATTGAAGAAAATATTCAAGAAATTGTTGGGCATATCACTGAAGGTGTGTGCAGGCCTCTAAAGGTAAAATATTTTGTTTTTACATATGCTATATGGTACCTGGTTAAATTATTACCTTATTTGTAGGAACTTAAGAAACTGATACCAACTCAAATACAGTCTATAATTTTTTCAAATTAGCACACTAATGTAGACTAATAAGAAACATTTTAAAATAATAATTGCCAGTTTTCTCTCTGAGAAAGAAAATTGGAAATACTTGTAGTTTGCATATATTGACCTATTTTTTACAGATTATATTTCCTGTAGTAATTTTTCTTATTTGATTGAGAAAAAAAATCTATTAAATTTAAATAGCAAATCTATGAACTCTTAACAGAGAGTTCAGAGAGTTGTGTTTACTTATTCTATCTGCTTAACTCTTCTGCGCCTGAATTATCCTCCCGTGGAACCTGTATGTTAAAACATCTATCATCCAGGGTTGTTGTGAGGATGACTGTGTAGATGAAGTACATAGTTTATGACACTTACTAACTATTTAGCAGATGGTAAATACCTTTGTTTTCCTTTATTAATATTTAGAGAATACTTAGCAATTGTTGGTTTACTTTTCCTTGTAAACCAACTTCCTTGATTGACTTCAATTTCGTACATGGAAATTGAAATCCAGAAGTTTAATTAATTTTTTCAAGAAATGAACTTTAAAATTAATTTTATTTTATTTCTAAGGTTTTTTTTTTTTTTTTTTCGGTATATGTTCCAGGCAAGGAAATCTCAGATGACACACTTTGTGACAATTGATTATATTGACAAATTTAACTGTTACTCTAACTTGATCTCATAGGACATAACTGTATATTCAGAAAATAAATGGCAAAGTATCTTGAAATTATTTTACTTATTTCTCCCAAATGAAATATTTACTTGTCATAGTTTGATGTAGACATATATAACTTTTATAAATATGGTTTATTTTGTATACTGGCAGTTACTGGAAACATAGAAGAAAAGGAGGAATAAAATGAGATTTATTTTGCTATGCTTTTATACCTTTTTATAACTTCATATAGTTAAACTCCTAGTCACTTTGATAAAGTGACTAGGTAAAAGATAAATTTTACTTTATCTGCCTTACCTTCCCCCCTTCCTTGCTTATGTAATTATGTTTCTTTTTACAGCTGTTCTTTCTTTTTTTAAAAAAAATTTAATTTATAATTTTTGTGGCTACATAGTAGGTGTATGCTTTTCCTTTTCTTTTTAAAAAGTAATTGTGTAAATATTATAATTTTAGAATCTAAGGGTTATAATGGACTTTTCAGTTTCCTGTCCTGGTTTGAGTAAGAATTATTATATCAAAAATGTTTAAACTAATACCAACCACTTAGATAAAGACGTTATATACTGAAGTCTGCCTTTGTTTTAAAATGTACTTAGAAATTCTCATTTCATCTTCCTTAAATGTACATACTCAGAAAGATCTTTATGACAATTGTAGGACCTTATTGTGATCTGCTGGCAAATTTAAATATAAGATGCCAAAGGGAAAGAAGACACTAGTAAGCAGACAAGTATCTTTTTGTTGTAAAATGAAGAAAAATTCCTTTTCTGAAATGACAGAAACTTGAAATCTTTCCATATGATGATAATATGTATTGCATACTCCAGAGAATATTTAGCAGGTGTTCACAATAGTTACATATCAAATTAGCTTGATAGTGATATATAATCCAGCAATTTCATACTTTCCTTCCTTTTATACTGATAGACAGTGTTACCTTATTTTAGGAATTTTTTTTCTGTATGACTTTATTTGGTGGTTATATTTTCAGTGATATAGTTGTTAGATGAGGAAAAAAATTTTGACTTTTAATATTTCCTTTTGCAATTATAATTCTGAATTTTTCTAGTGATCAATCTGCTTTTATAATCTCATTCATACAAAATTTCTTCTTCCTAATTGATAAGCAACTAAACTTTTTCTAATGACATATGATATTGGATGTTATGGCTACTTTTCTGTCCATTATTCTTCTTTGTAGAAATGGTTTTTTTTTTAGAGTAAGAGATTTTGATTTTTAGAAGCATAAAGAAAAGGTTATAGTGGTAATGGGAGATAATCCTTGAGAAACTATATATTTGATTTATTCTACCTTGTTTAATCTTTTCTTTGTCTTAGTAAAGTGAAGCATCATAGGTGGTAGATTAAATATTTGTAAATGTATGCATTAAGATAAGATCTGTAAACCTATTGCCAGTTTAAAGAATCGGTGCTCTAAGTTTAAGATTACATATGTTGTGTAGAGGATACTATCCATGGCTCATCAGCATCAACCCTATTACTTTGTACATGTCTTTACTCCAAAATTGTAGCTAGAAAGATCAGAACTAATATATTAAAATTTTTTTTTCAAGCCCATGGGTATAAAATCCTTCTTTTATGTGAATGTTTTAGATTGCTGATAGATTACCAGCTATCATTTGAATTTTCTCTTTTAATAAAAACTTTAGGGTAGTGTATGCTACAGACCTTAGATTATGGCGGGTTCTGTGAAAGCAGGCATAATGTAAAAGATCAATGGCATGGAAAATAAAGCTGAATATTGTACACAACATAGTCATTGGGCCCTCAGATTGAGGTATACATAGGAACAGATGTCTACCCTGAGCAGCTGTCTGTGATACTAAGGTAAAGGAAGTTCATCATCATCTTTTTTAGTCCTCCCTTCTTCCCATGTCCCCTTCATGAACACAAACCCACTCTCTTTCTCTTGCTCTTACTTTTTCTCTCTGGCCTTGGAGAGGAGAGCCACTGTTCTTTTAGCTCTTCCCTACCTTCTCTGCTGTCAGGGTGCCTGAAGCCCATTTTGCTACTTTTAATATCTGCCTTTATGGTTGATGCTGCTTCTCACAATGCAGTTAGGATTTATTGAGTGCTTATGATGTGCCAGGATCTGTTCCAGCACACTTTATATCTGAGCCATTATTCCCATTGCTGCTTTCCAGCTCTGCTAATGATTTTTCCTCCACTGTCATCACAGTGATAATTTCCAGCCCAGTTGCTGCTACCACCACTTCTTTGGTCTCTTTGACCTTCTTTACTTTTTGTTTCTCTTGTCTGTTGTTGTTTCTCCTGTGACTGTTGGGTTTTGTTGAAAATGGTTAGCCTCTTACATAGCCCTCATAAGGCAGAGTGTTTCTTTCTGTGTGGCAAACAAAGCATTCTTGGTGTATTATTTGTCAGTCTCCTGATTTCCTAGCCTTTCTCTGTTGCATTTTGTATTGTAGCTGTTGTATTGTTTATTGCCACTTTCCCTCAAAACCTTTGTATTTGAGAGAGATAGAAATTGTTTTTTTTTCTTCCCCCCTCCCTTCCCTCTTTTATTTTCCTTCCTTTCTTTCTTTCTCTCTCTCCCCTCTTTTCTCTCTTTCTTAAGGGAGTTAGAACTAAGAATATTTTCTTGATGCCTCAAAATTCTGGAAGGCAGGTGGCCATATAGCTGAGATGGTGTTTAAAATCTGCTAGTAAAGAGCTGTTTGTCTACAATTAACATTTTTTATATTTTCCTGTAATAATTATATTAAAATTAAGAAAATATCACTTTTATTGATATAACATATAATTTAAGTCACTGTTAAGGTCTTGGTTTAAAAATAAATTACAATATGGAAAAATATATTTTTTAAATTCAAATGCCGTTCATGATCCATGGTATTGTGGTAGTTAGATAGTCTATTACCTATACCAACAGATGAACCAATTTCATAAACATATTAATGTAAATTGATTTATATAATCTAAGAGGCTTTTGTATGCAGATATAAAATCTCATTTTAGCAAATCATAGTTGTTTTATGACATATGCCAAAATCTAAATACAGAGAAAGTTCAACTTTTAAAAGCATTTATTAAACATCTGTTGTGTGTATACTGTTCTACCAGATGCTACAGAGATGTAAAATAGGCAGAAGAAGACATAACGTCTATACTGTATTTGTATTTAGAAACTAGTTAGGAAACAAGAAGATATAATGTAAGCAATAGCTTAAGGGCACATACAATATTTAAGTAAGCATTTATCAGTGTAGTTTAGATTGTATTCATTAATAAGAGAAAAGAAAGATCAGTGAAGGATGAAATTTAGTTAGAAAAGATTCATATTTGCTAAATCTTGAGGCAGATCAAGTTAATCTTGAACTAGATCTGATTTTGCTCTGGTAATCTTATAATTTGGCAAATATGTTGGTGCTAATTCAAGATTTGTCTACTTTTCTATTCTTTGATTAATAGACAAACTTGATATAATAATTTATAGACTGGAAATTTTTTTCTTGAATATTTGGCAATAAAGCAGTATGTTTTCATTGATAATCTGTTTTATGGATGTAGCAGTTGCCTTTACAATTTAGTATTGAACCAAATTCCATTATATACTGGTGATAAATCTCAAATGATCTCAATGTATTGATATTTCTGGTAACAACTGGCTTGAATCAAATCCTGCAAATAATGGGTCAGTTTTTTTGTAGAGTTTATCTATATTAAAATGTTTGTTACTTTACCATCTTGTATGACTTACTACTCAGAAATTATTTAGGAGGCATTTTGTGATCTCTGCAATAATAAAAGTTTGTCTTTGTTATTCTATTCATACTGTATGTTATTAATGAAAGAAAGTTATACTTTTAAGAAATGTTTACTTTCCTCTCACGTATTTCAATAGGTTCGAATTGAGCAAGTAATAGTTGCTGAACCTGGGGCAGTTTTATTATATAAAATTTCTAATCTCCTCAAATTTTATCACCATACAATCAGGTAAGTGGAATGGCAAAATGTGCTTGCCAAATCCAATGTGCTGTTTCTTTCAGTTAGAGCACAGTATAAGATTTTTTTTTTATATATTGTGTATGGTAATTATACACTAAGTATAGACTAAGCATAACTAGTAGAACCTCCACACCATGTAAATCATTATATGCATATTATACATGCTGTGCCTTAAGGTCTATTATTTCCTTTCTCCTTTTTTCTCCAAGCTTAACTACACACACACACACACACACACACACACACAGCTTATATAACAATATAAGTCTATAACGTAAATCTTTATTGAGTCTTCCTGCATTAGTAAAAGACATCCAAGGCAACTAACGCAACTACACCATATACTCACAATAGAGCATAGTGAATTAAATGTTCTATTTTGGATGTAAATAACCTAAATTGTTTAGCATTTAGTTTACTATAACTGATAAAATAGAACCATAGCTTTATCTTCGCTACATACCAGCAACTTTATCTGATTAGGAACCACTCATCTTATATAAAATGTAATCTTTGACTCCAAAATATGCATTCATTTTTGCTTTACATTTCTCTGTTGGTGGTATACCCTTGAGTTTTATTATAACTGTCACTGTAAGACTGTTACATGTGTAGTTATGTTAAAACAATGTCTTTCCAAGCCATATTTTTGATAGTTTTTACATTTTTCCATTAAATAATTATTTAAAAATTACTTGGCCGGGTGCGGTGGCTCAAGCCTGTAATCCCAGCACTTTGGGAGGCCAAGACGGGCGGATCACGAGATCAGGAGGTCGAGACCAGCCTGGCTAACATGGTGAAACCCCGTCTCTACTAAAAAAAACCAAAAAACTAGCCGGGCGAGGTGGCAGGCGCCTGTAGTCCCAGCTACTCGGGAGGCTGAGGCAGGAGAATGGCGTAAACCCGGGAGACGGAGCTTGCAGTGAGCCGAGATCCGGCCATTGCACTCCAGCTTGGGCGACAGAGCCAGACTCCGTCTCAAAAAAAAAAAAAAAAAAAAAAAATTACTTGTTATACAGTATGCCAGTATCAGGAATAGTAGGCCAACTGTTAAAAATCTAAGAAGAATATAACTAACATTGCCAGGAAAGGTTGAAGGAGCACTAGTTTACAGAGTACCAAGAAACTGTGGTAAGGTTATCACCTACTCCTTAGTGACAGACAGTAGCCACCCAGAACTTAACAGCTAAGAAGGGGATTTTACATCTTACTAGTAGATTTTCAAACAAAACTAACAAACTGTAGTCTACAAAACTGATCAGAGATAGGATTTGGATTAGTCCCTTAATATTTTAGATATAAACTTACTGTCATCGTTCCCGTAATTCAAAAGCAATGAATTAGTTTCAGTTGTAATATTATAGCATCCTATAATAAGAGAATAATAAATACTTAGAAAACACAAGGACAGCTGAAAGCTGGACATAGCAAGTGCTGTGTTATAAAAAAATGCTGGTAAAATAATTTTTAAAATTGTTTATTTAATAATGTCCATGATGAGACTAAATGAAATTTATTATTTAAAGATATTGATATGTTAGTTTCTAATGCAGAAAATGTTAGAAAAAAAAATTCAGATTCTGAAGATGATAATAGGTTTTTTAGGCTCTGATAATTGTAATTTTTCTGTCTTTGAAGATGATATTGAAGATGACAAAATCTTTTTTTGATTGACTTTTTGCATGTACTTTTTCTACTTGTTCACACATTTCCTCATTCAATTAAAAAGTTGACTGTATACTTGCCATTCTTCTAGGTAATAAGGAAACAGTAATTAACAAAACAGAGCTTAAACTTACATTCTAGTAGGGGAGACAAGCAAGTATAAAATAATAATTTTTGGTAGTTATAAGGGTACTGAAGATAAAGCAGGAGAAAGGAAATAGAAAGTATAGGGAGTGACCATAAATGACTAGATATATGTGTGTGTTACTATTTTTGAAGCCATTCAGTAGAGGTGGTATTTGAATACAGATGTGAATAATATGAAGGAGTTGGGCATGAAAAGATCTTGGGGAAGAATGTCCAGGACAAAAATACACTCTGGTACTGAAGCTAGGAAAAGCTTGCATTTTGGAGGACTAGAAAGAAGACCAGGAATTGGAGTGTAGTGAATTGGAAGGAGTAGAGGGGGATGAAATAAGAAAGGTAGAGAGAGGCCAGCTTGTATAGGATTTTGAAGGCCATAGTGGATATTTAGATTTCATACTGAGTGAATAAGATTGGGAAAAATGTGAGGGTTTTGAGTGACCTGAGCAGGTTCGTGTTACAAGGTTACTCTGAATACTCTGTGAATCATGTAGTGTAATGAGAGAAAAGGGAAAATAAGGAAGATATTTAGAAAGCAGTTTGTGGTCCTGAGAAGAGATGATGATGAGTTTAGACTAGGGTGACAGTAGTTGATTTCGGAGATAATTTATGTCACAGCCAATAGGATATGTATACATACCAGATAGAGTGAGGTATGAGGAGTCAAGGATGAATTCTTGGCTTTTGGTTTGAACAGCTAGGTGAATGGTTTTGTTTGCTGAGATGGGGAATGCTGGAAAGGAACTGGTTGATGGGAGTGGTGGGTAATGAAGAATTCCGTTCAGTTTTGGCCTTGTCAGATTTGATGTATCTGTGAACATAGAGTAGGAGATTTTGAGTGAGCAAATAATACAGAGAGAAATCAGGGCTGAAGCTATAAATGTCTTAGTTTTCAGAAAATAGATGATATTTGATGCCATGAGAGTAGGTAAGGTCACTTGAGAAATGAGTATAGATAAAGAATGGGGCTAAAGACTGAGTCCTGGGAAGCTCCAATATTTTGAGGTCAAGAAGAGGAGAAACCACAAAACTGGGAAGGAATAGCAGTGAAGTTGGGAAAAAACCAAGACGCAGGCAAGATCTCAAAAAATTCACCTCTTATACATTAAAACTCCCAACAAAAGGAAGATATAGAATCCAAAAAACAGGGACTCAAGCATGCTTGGATTATATATCTTTTCCTCTAAAACTTTTCTCCCTAGAATTAATAAACACTTTGATTTTGTACTTTACTTTCCTATGCCCTTATCACTATTTCAGATCCAAGCTATTTAAGAGAACTCAACACTGCATTGTCTCACCATATAGTCCACCAGGTAATCGGCCTCTCTCCTGCCCCTGTCTGATACCCTTCTTGGAGCCCTCATTCCCCTCCAGTCTAGATGTGTTGCCCTTTAGGCCTACTGCAAGCTGCTTGGCTGTCACACTGGGGTTTGTCTTCTTCACTAGCCTGTTCATTGGCTTGTTTTGTGTATCCCTGATTCTTTGGTCAGCTCTGAATAGTATTTACGTGAGTGTAATGATGTAAACATTGAATAGTTATTTACCAGAACTCTGTGCCCATGGCTATATTAGGAAGCCTGGGGAAAGTGAAGTTTGGGTGTGTTGTGGTGGAGGAGGAGAATTGTGTAAGAGAGTTTAACTCTCATCTTCTACATCAGGAAATTTGTAGATAATACCTAAAACTGAAAAATCAAGTAATAGTATAAGCATGTTGGATAGAAATATGGAATGAAATGTCAGAAGAAACGTCTACAATTATCTGGACCAGTTAGTGGAACATAGTGAGTGCTCAATAAACATTAGTAAATTCTAGATCTGAGTAACTGCAAAGTACAGCTGATAACTACAAATTTAAAAAAAAAAAATGTAAATGTATGTTGAGCTCTCTCTAAATTTTTCATTAAATTGTTTCTATTTGTTTTCATTTAATTTCCTTCCTCTGTTGCTTGATGTACACTTTTGTTCAGAGAAATACTTGTTTTTATTGCATGTGCAGGCATATGTGGGAATTCCATCCAGTTTATTTTAGTATTTGGTTTACAATATTTTTAACTGAAATACTTGTTGTTTCTTTAAAATATAAGTATTATGGCTATTGGTTTAGCAATTTGCTAGTATTTTGCTGTTTGCTCTATATATGTATTTTACTAATAATTTGCTTTTTTTCATGAACTATGTAAGAATTTATCTAATTTATTTTGTACTGAAATATTGTACTGAAATATTACATTTGCATAGATTAATATTTGCTTTTATAATATATCGTATGTGGCCTTTGATTTATCAGTAAATTTGCTGTGTTTTAGCTTACTGTTTGGTAGTATTTAATGCCATTATATTCATCTTTAGCAATCTAAAATGTTTTAGGCATGGAAGATGTTGTTATGCCTTTAGAAATTATAATTCCCTACTGGATTACAGCATATTTTCATATCCTTAAGAAGCTTTTCCCCTAGAAAGTTGTTAAAATCATTTTTAGTGTGTGAATTAGGAGAAAAAAATTGGAAATTATTTTATATACATACTTGTCTTAGATCTTGGCAAAAATGGGAAACCTCCTTGAATGGGTCTAAGAAATATCCTTATACAATAGCAAATTGAGGATTATGGAATGTCCTAATGTAATTAGTTATTTCAAAATATTATCATACTTTTCAGACTTATCAGACTTTTCAGTTTAAATATACTGCTCTGTAGGCAGCTGTATAAAAATTGAGAAACTCTAATTTATAGGTGTGTTATTGATATAGTATGACAGTTTTAATTAAAAGAACAACTCAGTATTTATGCAATTTAAATATTTTATCAATAGAGCTGTTGATTCAATGCTCTTCTTAAAATTTAACTGTCTTAGATAATCGAGACGTATATTTACTCTAATAGAGGAAAAATAGAGATAGGGTTTTATATATTACAAATATTTGTTCTGACCCACAGTTTTGCTAAAAGAGATTGTGAAATATTGAAAACATAGTAGTTTGTTTTTATTTTTTCGTCACCTAACTCAAAAGAAAAGCAAAAATCCTGATTTTTAAAATATGAAACTAGAGTATTTGTAATTCACAGGTTATATTTTACATAAAAACTTTTATTTAAATCTAGGTCTTTTTAAAGCATTCTACTCAGTTAAAGAACTGTTTTGTTTCAGTTTCTGTTTTGCAACCTGAAATATCCTTTGCTTTTAGTGGCATTGTTGGAAATAGTGCAACTACATTGTTGACTACCATTGAAGAAATGCATTTGCTAAGCAAAAAAATATTCTTCAATAGCTTGAGTCTTCATGCAAGTAAATTAATGGACAAGGTATGTTTGAAAAATGTAATTATTAAATTATTTGAATGTGAATCTTTCACATTAAAGATGTTTTAATGATTTTATTATTGATTTATAACTTTTCCCATTACATTCTGTGTTCCTTTGAGTTCTTCCTTTCACCAACAACTTTCATTTTGAGATGATTGATTGTACCTAAGTTTATAGTCTTCATTCCAGAAACAGTATAACATCGAGTTATAATTAGAGATAGCGTCTTAGGCTCCAATTTTACTACCATTTTTTCTGTCACAGAAGTTGTATAATTAAAGCAAATTTACTATATTTAGCTGGGGGCTAAGATGACATATAGATTGGAAAACCAGAACTCTTACAAAATGTTTTTTCCAAACAGCTTGTATTTCTACCCCTGATGTTACAGTTTTGCCCTTATGAAATTTATGCTCCTCTGAGTTATATAATTATTTATGAAAACAAACAAAAAAACACATCCCACAAAAAAACAAACAAACAACAAAAACCTGAACAAGGTCTGTAAGATCTAATATCTTAAATTGAGCAGGGTATTTTGGTAGGACCTTAAGGAATATATTTACAGTGATCAAATCCTTCTTTATTTTTGTTTCATTATTGAGGACATGAGTTTTTCAAGAATGTGTCACAATCACCATGCTGGCTTTTTAATTGTACTACTCTATCTAATAGGCTAGCTATATTAGGCCCGGGTTTTGTAATATAGTATAAAATAGTCAGTAGCAATTTAGTTCAGAATACCTGGTCAATCTTTACTTTCCTAAGTTCAATCTTCACTTTCCTAAGTCTACTTTCTGACCCACATGCATGACTCAGATTCATTTGGAAAAGCAACATGAATTTGTGGAGCTGGAATGTCTACCGTAATTTTTCTTGCCTTGTGTATTTCTGTTTGCATCACCAGTTTACTGACAATCATTTCTGGTTATATTTGTTTTTATGGTTCTTATTTAGACAGAACTCTTCTAAAATAATTTATACATGATACCCAAACATTAAACATGAACAAATATGTGCTAGATGTTGAGAGTACAAGGATGAACACTCAAGGTCTGTTGACCTCATTAAGGTTGCTTCTCCTTTAGTGGAAAATGACCAAATAAGTCTGGTTATTTTAGAATCCTATGATTTATGAAAGACATGTGCCTAGGGTATATGCTAGCACCAAAGGAGGAGTATATTTAGCAAACTATATGTACTCTTCTACAGAGAGGAAGCTTTCCACAGAGAGATGTAAGAGAGTTGAACTTTGAAGGACAGGTAGGCTTTAGATAGGTGAAGAAAGGAGTGGATGGGGTAATCTTAAATAGAAGTAACAAATAGAATATGCTAGAACATGAGTATGAGTTACCTATAAACACATTTTTCATTTATTAAAAAATACCACTAGTAAAGTGATGTGTTTTATATATATAAGTGGGGAGGCTGGGTTGGAGATAGGAAAATTAAAGGAGTATTGCAGTTGTTTTTATTCATACATGATCTAAGGGAAAGACTCTGGGAATAGGCAAGAGGGGACAGATTCTTGAAGGGTAAAGATAAAATCTTCAAAACTTGATGACTGACTGAATGTGGGTAAGTGAGAGGGAGTCATCTAGAATAATTCCTAGGCTAACCACAAATATCTAGAATGCAGAAAGGGGGAACAATTTGGGAGATAAAGATGGTTTCGTCTAAGTTAGATAAGTTGAGTTTGAGGTGCCTATGAGACATCCCTCTGGAATTGGTCTTATCTAAAGGGGAGCGATACATTTGGATTCAGAGAGTTTTACATATAAGAGATAGTTGAATTCATGGGTTTGGGTGAAGTCACTAGGAAGTATTTTTTTTATAAGAATGAAGCTACCAGGACACAGTCTTGGGAAACGCTGACATTTAAGAGAAGGAAAAACTCAACAGTATGATGCTAAGAGAGGATGGCCAGAGAGGCAGGACAAAAATTAGGATAAGGTTTTATCAGAAAAGCTAAGAGAAGAGAGTTTCTAGAAGGAGGGCATGGTTAATAATGACAGATGCTTTTAAAGAGTTCTAGTAGGAGGCTTGTTATCTTTGGCAATATATACGTGATAGGTGACCTAACTGGACAATTTTAGTTCTGTGGTGGAGATAGGAGCCAGATTTCGTTATGTAGAAAAGCTCATGGGTAAACATATTTCCAGCTTTACCAATTGGAAAACATACGGGCCTTAAGACTGAAAATAGATGCATTAGGCATTTGTATTAAGAAATTTGAAACAGAACAATAAAATAAAGATAAATGGAAAGGATGGAATTAAATTGCTGTGACAAATTAGAAAACAAAAGCAGAATTATTTGTTGAAAAGATAAACAAAATTGACAAACTTCTAACAAGTTTAATCAAGAAAAAAAGAAAATTAAAAGTTTTTAGAAATTAGAGACAATCCACAGATGAGAATTAAAACTTAGAGAGTACACATATGCAGTTTTATGCTAATCATCTAAAAATCTGAATAGGGTGAATGCTTTTTAAGGTGACATAAATTGGTAAAATGTGAGTCAAAAGGAAGTGGAAAGTGTGAATATACCTAAGGAAGGAAGAAAAGTTATTAAAGAACATGTTGCCAGGCCTCATTCAGATTATATAGAGAACTTCATTCATACGTAGGAGGAACAGATAATTCTCCAGAACACAAAAATATATGGAAAGCTTCTCAGTTTGTTTTAGGTAGTATAACACTGACATAAAACCTTTTAAAGATAGTCAGTAGTGAAAACCATATATTAGTCACCTTTTAAGTTTTAAAACTTCAAAATTCAGCATTTATATATTAAAACCAAGAATGATTTATTACATGAATGTAAGAATGTTTCAGTGTTAGGAAATATACTAAATGAGTATATAAAATAAATTTTATATTCTCATATTTGATCACATTGTTTAGGGAAAATCTTAGTAAGTCATTGAAGAATACTTCCTTAACCATATAAAAAGAGATAAAACTAGCAGCCAACATCATAATTAATACTGATACACTCGTGATTCTTCTATGTAAGTGAAGAATAAGAATGCTTGCCAATACTTTTAAATAATAACCATGGTAGAAAGACCAGATAAAGAAATGAATTGTAAATATTTTAAAGGAGGAGACGTTAGATTATTTATGGTTGTTATGATAGTCTATTTTGAGGTCCTAGGAGAATCAACTAAAAAGTTGTACAACCAGAAAAATGAATTCTAGTGAAGTCATTGGTGAAAAGATCAATATACAAATGTAATTAATTTTCTTATATGCCAGCTCATGAGGTGCTCAATAAATACTGGTAACATGAATGGTTCAGTTCATTTGCTCCTGGCCTATATTCCATCACTATCTTGCCATTAGCTTTAAATCTCTAGCACCCTTGCCATTTTACCACATTCACTTTGCAAAACCACCTTGAATTCAAGTTTTCAATTTTTCCTGAGCGCTGCTAAAGGAAATTACATCATACAGACAGGAGTCACTAAAAATTGTCTCCAGCATCAGGAAGGCCCTCCAGGAGGTCCAGCAAATACTGATTGTCCTTGTGGCAGCCACTCACATTTACCATACTTACTTTCACCCATTTCCTGAAATCTACCATCCTACCTCCTACTGAAAAAGTGCCAACCCTTGCTAAAACTGGATAATGGACATTAAAAAAAAATATTTGCCAACACGATGAGCAAAAGTGACATTTTGTTATTTTTCTCATTTGGATTTCTGTGATTCTAGTGAGAATGAGCATTTTAAGATAATGTATTTTGGCTGTTTGTGAATTGCTTGTTCAAGTCCTTTGCCGTTTTCCTGTTGGGTTGTCTTGTTTGTTTCTGACAGTCTTTATGCCTTAAGAATATTAACTCTATCATATATATTACAGACATTTTCTCCACATTATCATCTGCCTTTAAAATTTGCCTGTAGTATTTTCTGAAACATCAACTTTTAATTTTTTTATAGTTCAATATAACTTTTTTTTATATAGTTTTTTCCCTTGGTAGTATTCCATGCTTGAAAGTATTCCCACAAGAAAAAACATTTAGATCCCTTGTAAGCTGGATTCCTAGGTATTTTATTCTCTTTGAAGCAATTGTGAATGGAAGTTCATTCATGATTTGGCTCTCTGTTTGTCTGTTACTGGTGTATAAGAATGTTTGTGATTTTTGCACATTAATTTTGTATCCTGAGACTTTGCTGAAATTGCTTATCAGCTTAAGGAGATTTTGGGCTGAGACAGTGGGGTTTTCTAAATATACAATCATGGACCTTTTCAAGGAGAACTACAAACCACTGCTCAGTGAAATAAAAGAGGACACAAACAAATGGAAGAACATACCATGCTCATGGATAGGAAGAATCAATATCGTGAAAATGGCTATACTGCCCAAGGTTATTTATAGATTCAATGCCATCCCCATCAAGCTACCAATGAGTTTCTTCACAGAATTGGAAAAAACTGCTTTAAAGTTCATATGGAACCAAAAAAGAGCCCACATTGCCAAGACAATCCTAAGTCAAAAGAACAAAGCTGGAGGCATCACGCTACCTGACTTCAAACTATACTACAAGGCTACAGTAACCAAAACAGCATGGTACTGGTACCAAAACAGAGATATAAACCAATGGAACAGAACAGAGTCCTCAGAAATAATACCACACATCTACAGCCATCTGATCTTTGACAAACCTGAGAGAAACAAGAAATGGGGAAAGGATTCCCTATTTAATAAATGGTGCTGGGAAAATTGACTAGCCATAAGTAGAAAGCTGAAACTGGATCCTTTCCTTACTCCTTATACGAAAATTAATTCAAGATGGATTAGAGACTTAAATGTTAGACCTAATACCATAAAAACCCTAGAAGAAAACCTAGGTAGTACCATTCAGGACATAGGCATGGGCAAAGACTTCATGTCTAAAACACCAAAAACAATGGCAGCAAAAGCCAAAATTGACAAATGGAATCTAATTAAACTAAAGAGCTTCTGCACAGCAAAAGAAACTACCATCAGAGTG